GTAATAATAATGATGAATAATAATGTTCCTTATTTGGAGAAGTTCAGGATACTAGATGTTATAGTGAAAAATGTAGCTTGAGACAAGAATAGAATAGAATAGAATAGAATAGAATAGAATAGAATAGAATAGAATAGAATAGAATAGAATAGAATAGACCTTTATTCATCCCCATGCAGGGAAGTTCACGATGTTGTAATAGCAAAGACATTGGTAATTTTCTTGTATATTTTTTTCTTTTTTGTTCTGTTTCTACTAGGTTGTTACAAAAAATTATTCAATAGCACTTTTTGGGTCGAAATGCTAAAAAGTTACTTATTTTTGCATTTTTTTTGAAAGTGCATTGATTAAATTTCAAGTCATTTTGACACAGCTGGACTCTTAAGTATAGAACTAAAACTTTGTTCTGATGCACATAAAACAAATTTTTAAAAATGTAACAAATTTTTTTTGGTTCTCTTCTGAGCATGTAGCACACTTTAACAAACAAAAATGAACAATGTGAAAAAGAGGTGACTGATCACTTCTGATCGAAGCTCGACTTTAGTATAAACTGCTGACTGTGTCTTTCTCCTTCTTAACGTCGCACATTATCCTGGTCATTAAGCAGCTGCCTCTGGCATGTGAAGGAAGCATGCAATGTAATCTTTGTTTTATGAATAATTGATCTGACTGACAGGATGATCCTAATGCTCTCAGAGATCTGGGTCAACTTGTACTCTTGCGATGCACTCGTGAAAGCAGAAACACTTAGACAAGGACTTCATTTTATATTGTTGAATGCTTCTGTGCAGCACGCCACCTTATCAGCCATTTTTAATCAGTTATCAAACCCAGGCCTTGAGTGTCAAGTATTCATATTTACCCTGGCTGTCATTATGGCTGCTTCTCTGGTGTTCCTGCTTGCACAGCAGAAACCACACCCATATAACAAGTGCAAAGTGCTTGTTGTTTGTGTGCTGCTTAGTGAGAGGCACGTGGGTGTGTGAGTGTGTTCATTGGAGGGGAAGGTGTGGAAGGAGTAGAATACCTTCCTTGAGGCTACAGTAAAGGAATCACAGAAAGACACAGATCTACTGAGCAATAACAGACTAGTCCAGGCAGGATAGGGTGGCATGAAAAAGTCAAAACATTTAAAACACTTTGAAAATACTCTCTAGTAAAAGATTTCCAAGAAGTATAAAGTAAAAAGTGCGACATCATTTCTATATTTGCACCATGACTATGTATTTTACCTTTTACTAAGCCCAAATTAAAGGTAAAATTTGTTGTTAATAATTGAACATGATCCTCGTATACTTTAGGAGAAACACATTGTGCAACATCTTTGCTCTAAACTTTATCTCATAAACTGTTGGACAGATTTCAGTGAAGCTCTCAGGAGGTGATTCCTGGCTTTAGCTGTACTTTTGGAGTCATAATTCAAGATATATTCACAATATAATAAAATATCCATCATGTTATTATTTGATGCACACTTTAACCCCTTGCACACCATGCCAATTTTGATAAAAGTTTTCTCCCTATAGGTTCAAGAAGCCATCTTCTGTTGATCCTAAAACAGTTTTACAGTTGAGGATCTGTAAGATTTTACTGGCACTTGATTGGCTCTAATATTCCTCTTCCTTCCGGTGCAGCTGGCTGCAGCATGAGCTCAGAACATGACCGATCCAGCTCCATATTGAACCGTTTAAAAGGTTCTGTTTTCATGAAATCCTCAATTTCTCCCCTCTCAAAACAAGTAATTGTTCAATGAAGACAGAAACAGTTGCACATCAACTTTATTGATGCATATGCATCTCTAACATGCGTCAGGTTTGTTTTGATTTCCTTTGAAAAATACAGTAAAAAAGTGATTTTATAATGGTAGAAAGTGTTTCTTCTGATCTCTAAAATCCATTTAGCAGCACTTCAGAGTCTGCTACACAGATGCTTTTCCGGTCACACTTTTGATTTACATTTGTGCAACTTTTTTAAGTGAGTCGGTGACCTACTTCAATTTTCAAACTGCTTAGGCTCTATTGCTGTTGTTTGAGGACATGTACAATAAGGATAAAAAAAGTTTCAACATTGCCTCACATCCTAATCATTATCTAAAATCTGTTCTGTTGTTTACTGTCTCATGATTTCACTCAAAAACTTTGAGATTTTTGATACAGATTATTTTATTTAGTAAATGTTGAAATTATTGTTGACAAAATGTTAAATTTATTCCTTTTATGTTTTTATTAAACTTGACATGAGATAAGATATTGTACGTACTTCAAATCTTTGTATCTGTCAAGGTTGTGATGACCTGATCTTTGCTGCCATCTGCTGGTCAGAAAGGAAACTACAACCCTGACTATGTACTTACACATTCAACCACAAGGTAGCGCTCGTGAACTACTGATTGTGTGTCCTTACGCTTGGTTAATTTGAATGGGGGAAAATGTGTTAATGAAACTTAAATATAAGGATGTCAGTAAAATGTTAAAAAATAGATATCTGGGCAAAGATAAAAAGGTGATTTTATAATGAGATTCTATGTTAAACTGAGCTGCTGGTGGATTTAGCAGTTTTTCATGGTTTTAAAAAGTTTCTGCAAAGTTTTTAACTAAAAGTTGATGATAAATGGCTATAAGTTGCCATCTAACATTATACACCTGCTTCAGTGATGACAGGTTATCACAAATAGAAACTGAAGGCCATGCTTTTCTTGAAAGTTTACAATGAAGGGAAGAAGAGAGGACTTGTTTATGTGATATTATGCTAATAGATATTATGCTAACAGACCATTAACAGAGTTAATGCAAAAGTGTTAAACTATAGATCTAATGCAATCATTTGTCACTTGGAGTACAAACAAATGTTAATATTTGTAAAACCGACTAAGTTTGAACTAGTTTTGTGTTTGCTAAGGTTGCTTAGTGGCAGCCATCTTGATTACCTTGAGAAAGTTAATTTGTGCTAGATGCACATGCAATAATTTATTTCTATGAATTAAAAAAATCATCCATTACTTCATTAGACATGTTTGCTGAAGGTACAGACAGGAGAAAACACACGCAGACAAAAACAAAAACCTTTGGTGATAGACAATAAATGCATCAAAGTTCATGGAGCGATGCGCACTGGGAAGTTTCTCACTGTGTTTTAAGTCCCATTGCTGTGGGATATATGCAGTTAATGTGAGGCAGTGGGGGAAAAGTAAGAAGTAGACTTGTTAGCTGATGGAGCTGAGAGAAGAACAGCGCTAGATCTCTGCGGTGGCGGGAGTGCGACGCAGAGCTCAAGCCCAGTTTAAGGTTCTGTTAACCTTGGCCAGCGGTCAGACCCCTAAGTCTGTCGCATATCTGAGAGTTGGAGAAAGAGGGATGGGATCAGTGAGGCTTAAAGGCCTGAATACGTTTCACTGAACAGGAGGGGAAAAGTCCCCGTGCAACAGTCGGCGTCCTCTATCCTCAGGCCCTTTGTCAACATACAGCAGAGAGATTCTTTATTAATGAGCTTTTCATGATGGGGTTAAGATGAGAGGTAAGAATGTAGAAGATAGAGTGAAAGAGACCAACTGTGGAGAGAGGCGTTGAACAGAGAGGACAAGATGTTTAGGTCATTACCTGGTCAATGCTCCATGGGAACAAAGCGCTCTGTCACTGCCACAAACAAACACTGGTTGACAAGAATCAGCTGGGGAGGTCAGCGACAGCTGCCACGGAACAACAAACAGAGCCGCACTCTCTTTCCTCTCCTCACATTTATCATATGGAAGCTCAGAAAGGAAGAGCAAGCTTTCAACTTTGTCTTTTTTGTGCTTGTCACTTAAAAAAAGTTTTAATGAAATGTTTGGTGGGATGTCATTTAAATGAGACATTTATAGTGTGAATGCTGATTATCAGTGTGCATGACTGAGATCCTGTTTTTTCCTCCCGTGTCACTGTTTGCTGCTTAACTACTCCTGCGTACTTGATCTTATAGCAATTACTCAGACTTCTAATTGTTAGGAGCATTCAGGAGATGCTTTGAATGATCTTT